TTCCCAGTGGCGATGTTTACACACCGCGCCAGGTACTAATTTAAGGCTGAGTCGACCTAGGGGAGGCCCACGATCGAGTCAGATAATCGTCACTGGTGTTGTGCCGTGAGGGGGAATTTAACTCGAGTCACCAGGTTCGTAGTGCAGAGCGCTAACAGCTACACTACCGCTCACATATTTCACGCACACATATAGACATACACACATACACGTTTACAACGATCCCTCGCTTAGACTTAGAAAGTCGGAGTTAGTAGTTGGTAGTTCGCAAGCACCTATTAAGGCCGACATGAATTACCGTTGGATGACACGGATAGGCTGAACGAGAGTGTATTTCATTTAGGAATTATCGGGTTCAATAAAGCCATACACGTACTTATGGTGTCAAGTTCCGAAGGACGGCTTTATTTTACTAATACTGAGCACAGTATAACTTCAATCCCAAACTGCACAACACAACTTCACTTTAAAAAATAAGTTTCAGCACTTTATCAATCAACTGCTAAATTACGCACGCCATCTCGGCAATGGGGGTTACCTTGACTTCTGACCATACTTCACCACGCTGGTCAGTACGGATAGGTGAGAATGAAGGCTCAAGATCGGTTTTGATATCGCTCACCAATGCAATTAACCACGGACGGCACCGCCCGACTGCCTTTGTCTCCCTTGCGCTGATGTTTACACATCGCACCGGGTATTCTTTTAAGGCTGAGTCAACCTAGAGGGCGCTGGGAATAGGGGTAGGGCAACTTCAGTCAGATTTTTTTTTTCCTACCACTGCTATTGATCGTGAGCGGATATCCAACTCGGGTCGCCGGGTTCGTGGTGCAGTGCGCTAACGACTGCGCCACTGGTCCCCGCACACGCGCACGCAACTTCACACAAGACAATACCTGCGGTGACAATGGTACACATGCATCACTTAATAGGCGCTTCGGAAATTAACTATTATTGAATGCTAAGTGTAGGAAACAAATGCCGAAATGTGCAGTGTGCACCTCGGGCTTTTTGCCCATCGATCATAATGATGATTATAATGAATAATTTAATTAACGCTCAACATGTATTATATAGTATATGTCCACGCAACGCGGACGTGAAGACGCAGTTGTTTCCTCATATTTTAGTGCAAAACTTTGTATAATAACTATAGTTACACCGAGCACACATTTTGGGTGCATCTTACTTTTTCGGAGCGTCTTATAATCCGGAGAGCAATCACACAACAAAGACAAAGATCCCCTGTATAGCCTTAACAGACCGTTGAGGCAAGTGCTGTTCGCGAGCACCTATAATCACACGCGCACATACACACACAATACGGACATTCCTTCACACAAACACACACCCACGAATATATAGTTAGTTCACATTCATACACGTGCACACCCACATACTAATTGCTTCGCACGGCCATATATATTACAGAAATAACTTGACATATATGACGCCTTTAGAGGAAACAAATATATAATAGCCGACGTTTCAGGAAATGGTCTTTCTTCACAGCAACTGAATGTATCAACTACACCCATCAAATAATGTTTGAAATATAAATGAATGCACTCGCCTAGTAACTTATACCTCTCACGCAAACACAGGCGTATGAATTATTCCACACTCGTATACACACACACACTTGATTAGCTTAACCCCACACGCATATCTATAATTTCACAAACACATACATCGATTGTAACTTAATACGTATGCACACGGTAATTAGTAACTCAACTGTTGCATAAGTATAACAAACCATGAGTGGTCAGGCCTTCATACAGCAATGTATAGACAATGGTTGATGCTGCTGAAAAGGCTGATGGTTTCCACACATTTATTACGGCACTTGAAGCACACACAGACACACGCCTCACCTTGCATACACTATTTAACACTCACCAAAACGCGGAATGGATATACATGTTAACAATATTTAAATGCTCATTCGTGAAACGCATTCACACACGCGCGCGCTCGTTAATTCTACCATGTATAGAAAAAGACGAAGATCCCCCCGTATAGCCTTAACGAATTAATAGGGCAAGTGCTGTTAGCGCGCACCTATTAAGGCCGGCACCAGACACACAATTAATACTGAGTCGACCTAGGGGAGACCCGGGACCATATCAAATCGTCACCAATATTATTGGTCATGAGCGGGAATCAAACTTTGGGCGCAGGGTGCGTAGCGCAGTGCGCTATCTGCTACACAATTCGCTATCCCATGTACGTAACCACGCACACAGACATACAACGCTTGTTCACATTCGATGCCACTGCTGAAGCGATCAAGTGTCCGTGCGCAGTGTTAATTGTCGCATCTCCTCCGATTGTCGTGGGGGGGGGGGGATGGGGGCGGATATATTTTCCTGAAAATAAATCTTAAAATTCACTTGAAATGACCACGAGGTCAAAGTCAAACTATTGGGCGGTAAGATGATTCTAATTAACGAGTGCACGTGACAATTAGATATCCGTACATAGTTTATCTGTGTGTGTGCTTTGTATGTGCAGGGCATATCACCCCCATCGTGCGCCGTTCCGGGTTTAATAGGTGCTCGCTAACAGCACTCGCCTCAATAGCCTGGGTTTCTAAAACAAGGGGGAGCTTTGTCTTTGTTTGTGTATGGCGTGTGAGCGGTGGCGTAAGTGGTTAGCGCACCGCACTACGAGTCCCGCTCCTAGAATTCGATTCCCGGACACGGCTAACAATCGGCGGTGATTATTCGAACGAATCCTGCGCCTCCCCTAGGTCGACTCAGCCATAAACGAGTACCTCCTGCGGTGCGTAAACATCAAAATCGGTGCGACAAAGTCGGTCTGGCGTGGTTGCTGGTCACCCACTCCCTCGCGTGGTTGCTGGTCACCCACTCCCTCGCGTGGTTGCTGGTCACCCACTCCCTCGTGCGCCTTGCCGGCTTTCATCGGTCCTCGCTAACCGCACTTGCCCCAGCAGCCGGCCGGGTCTATATGGGGAATCTTTGTGTATGTATATACGTACCTACGTTTACGCTTATATAGTGTAATGCACATACGGTGTCTTAGTTATACGAAACCACGTACACAACTGTTGCTTACGATTAACACACGCGCACACACAACAGCGCACTACTCTCCAACACAGTGACATCTGTTGAAACGCTGTAACGCGTAGTTTACACGGATAGAATTGTGCTATGTTTATATAATGGCACTTCTGTTCAGCCCTTTGTACATCCGCTGCTGGATGACGGGACCCATCGTTCCCCTATTGGTAGACTATACTTCACCAGGCTGGTCAACACGCTGCGATAGAGGAACGGGGACCGCTTCAGATACCACTAGTCACTGACGTTAACCGTGCACAGGTATGTGTATGTATGGGGAGGGGTATGTTTAGAACAGTGTGTGTACGCCAGCGTAGACTGTTGTCAATATCAACAACGAATGTAGGACCAGTCACGTCTGTTTAAGTGTTGTCAAAATATACGAGAACAAATTCGGTAACACAAGCTGAATGTAACTTATCCATTGCCTTCCTTCAAAACACACACAAATGGTAGGTGGGGGGGTCGTAATTCGAAGCATAAACCCGGGCGAAGTAACCCACCGCACGCTACATCCGTATTCACAACCAGGAAAGCCTTCGCGTAGCCGCGTCAACCTGTCGGAGTAAGTGCCCATGTCTGCGAGCACCTATCAACGTCGACACGTGCACGCCAGGGAGCGGCTCATCACGCACAGCGCACAGCAACGACAACATATCCGCCTATTAGCGTCACATACCGTGGGGACATAGGGCGATTAGCGAGCTCCTATTAAGGGCACGAGGAGGTGGTTGGTGGCGAAGCGAGGAACAACGCACGCCCGGCGGTGTTTACTGTTCACCAAATGCGTATTAGGGCCGAGTCGATCTAGAGGTGGCGCTCGGAATGCACCGCTGACAATCATTAAAGCAACATGCGCACAATTTTGCCAGGATTCGAACCCAGGTTTGTTTGTTTTGTTCGTGTTGCCGGTCTCGTAGCGGCACGTGCGCGAATCGCTCACCGCACCGCTCTCCGATCGCAAGCACCCCATCCCCTGTGCACGCTTCGCGAAGAGGCGAATGAAGAGAACTCGGTTCGCCGACGATGGTGCGTCGATGTGGCCAGTTGAATCGTACGGTGCGTCGATGTGGCCAGTTGAATCGTACGGTGCGTCGATGTGGCCAGTTGAATCGTACGGTGCGTCGATGTATCGCGAGTTGAATCGTACGGTACGTCAATGTATCGCGAGACGCAACGCAAATGTTCGTTGCTCTAGACTCTGACGCTGCGGCGGTGGAGGGGGGGGGTCAGTGACACCGATCAACCTCCCGAGACCCCCCTCTTCATCAATATGTTGGAGCTCGCAAAAAATTGTGTAGGTTCCTTAATTAAACGTTGGCTTTTCAGATTGCTCCAAATTACGAGCATCGGCGACTGCGTTCGTGCAACATTGAAGATCTTTACGATAGACGGGTTTAAATTATATTGATGGGCCTTTTAGAGGCCATCGATATAACGTAAACCCGTCTATCGTGCCAGTACAACTCGCTTCCATTCCACGTTGCGCGCGCGACTCGCATGTCCGCGTACAGGGCGATCCATTTGTGGACACCCCACTGATCCCCCCCCCCCCCGCACGACCCCTGTTACTTCTAAACACGTTGGGTCCAACGCAGCCGTGTGATGTTGGTCAAAGTGTTTCGGAAGGGTGTTGGAATATTGAACACACGCATTGCGATTGGTGGGGTGTCATGCGGAGGCTTTGAAATATAATATCTTGTTCTCTCTTTAGTTCCCCCATTTATTTTGATGGGGTATCTACGAATGGATCGCCCTGTATAATACAACGGGATTGTATATTGTAGCATGATACTGCGTTGTAAATTATGTACATGCACAAAAAAACAAACACAATAACACAAAATATAACAGTCGACGTTTCGGGCAATGGCCCTCGTGTGTAAAGGAGCGTAAAGGCTGCTCACTCACCATGTACGCCGCATAGGGGGGGCCATCGGCGGCCGCGTACTGGAAGGGGCCCGCGTAGAGGGAGGCTCTTAGCCCGGGGTAGGGACTGAACGCAGACCCTGAACGTCCAAGTTCGGCTCCTCGTCCCGCGTGAAGCATTCCGCTTGGCCCTCCACCACCACCACCAACAACTCCGGCGCTCACGGATCCCACGCCGCCGGCTGCGGAGCCGATCAGGAGCCCCGCCGCCGCCGCCGCTCCTCCTCCTCCTCCCCCCCCTGGCCCCGCGCCTCCAGCCGCGGCCGCAGCGGCCGCGGCAGCCGCCGCTGCCACAGCGGCCGCGGCGGCCGCCGAAGAAGACGACGACGACGACGATCCAGGTGGGTAAAGCGCAGCGAGCGATGCAGCGGGAGACTGGTACAAGAAGGCGTGCTGGTAAGACATGTCTGGCGGACGATCTGGTGCGCTCGCGGGCAACGAGAGGGGTGGCTCGGACTACATAGACAGCTCGACCCACACACGCACAGCATGCACAGTGGCGTGCGGCCGACGGGTTGGGTAGAGGGGCACGGCAGCGTAACAACCCTCGGCTACAGCGTGCGCATGTGTGGCCCCCGCTCGCTCTGTGTGTATACACTCAGAGCGGCTGGCGGTGAGCAGCACACAGAGTACCTTTAAAACGAGCCGCGATACTTGCTGTGCTGCAGCACGCCTGTCCGGCGTGGCGAGCGCTGTCACCGCGTCCGGGGGGCCCTGCTATGCCGCCCCGATGTGCTCACGCGCCCGGCTATTGAGTCCTTAATAGCTATTGTAATTGCAATTTAGTATATTTACTGCTGTAGCGATTATTCGCAACGTGCCAGCGTTGCGCGCTGACAACTTGACCCGGTGTTGTTGTTATGAGCAAAAGAAAGGGCTGAACGCACACATAACCCTCCCTGGCCACTCACTCACTCACCTACTCGCCTGTCCTCCTGCCCCTCCTTAACAGTGTCCTCTCTTCCCTCGCTGCTGGGCAGGCTATTGTACAGTCTGACACAACACGAACGCAGCCTTGCTTGCTCGGTATGACTTCATCCAGCCTCTCTCCTTCCTCCCCCCCCTCCTCTCTCTCCCCTCCTCCCTTCTCTCCCGTTCACCACCGACACCGCCAACCTCCTCTAGCTCGCCTGTGTCCCTGTGCGCTATTCTCCGCGTGTGTACACGATGCGTTCGGCGTGGGGCTACACTGCCTGTGTGCTCGAGGCGCGCGTCCCTTACTCTCTGCACTGTGCATGCAGCGAAAACTGCTGTGGTCTCTCTCTCTGTGTGTGTGTGCGTCTCATTGCCCATGGGGGTCTCGTCGGGTTTTTTTTACTACAAACCAGCTCCGCCTCTAGTGCTGGGATGGGTGGAGACGGTTTAGCTTGTATTTCTGGCTTGCGTGTGGGTGTGTGTGAAAGTATGCGTGTGTCACGTCGTGGAGCGGTTAGATCGGCCACCACCAGCACCAGTGACGAGGTTCTGAACCGGTTCTGGGGCTCCCCTAGATCGACTCAGCCTCAAATGAGTACCTGTCGCGGTGTGTAAAACGTCGCCACTGGAGAGACAAAGGCGGTCGGGCGTGGTGCATGACAACCCCCCTCCCCCTGCGCGCGCCCTCCCGTGTCGGCCTTCATAGGTGCTCGCTAACAACACGTGTACCCAAAGGTCTGTTAAGGCTATACAGGGGATCTTTGTGTGCACGTGAGTACTATTGTTTATTGGAGAATGCGTTGGTGTATAAATGCGAATGTGTGTATGTATGTACGGTATATTGTCCCATACATATACACATGCACACACGTGTGTAGACGTGTAAGTGCGTGTTAGTGTATATGTGTGAACGCGTTGGCGTGTATGTATCGCTGCCTTTTGGGGAGCGGTAGTGTAGCGATGAGCGCTCTGCGCTATGCACCCACTCACGGCCAACACCGGTGACGATTATCTGAACCGGTTCTGGGCCTCCCCTAGGTCGACTCAGCCTCAAATGAGTACCCGGTGCGGTGTGTGACCATCGTCACTATGGAGACAAAGGCGGTCGGGCGTGGTGCTGGCCACCCACCCCCTCGTGTACCGTTCCGGCCTTCATAAGTGCTCGCTAACAGCACTTGCCCCTACAGTCTGTTAAGGCTATACGGGGGATCTTTGTCTTTGTATGTATAGGTACCTATGTATATGTGTCCGTGTACACAAGTGTGTATACAAGTGTGTACGCGTGTGTGTCAGAATGCATTTGTGTGTACTGTATGCGCGTAAGTTTGTCATTGTGTATATATGCACCGTGTATACACATACGTACATAGTGTACGTGTAAGTATGCGTGTGTATGTACGCACACAAGCATGTGTAGGGATGCGTGTGTGTGCATGGGTATTCATGTATGTGTGCGTGCGCATGCGTATTAGTATAGTGCCTGCATATGGTGTATATGTGTAAGTATGTGTTTTTGTATTTGCATGTGTAAATACACGTGTGATGCGTGTGCATGTACCAGTGTGTAAGTGTGTATAAGCATGAATGCACATGGGCGTGAGCATGTGTGCGTGTGTGATCAGCATTTGCCCTGAGGTCCAACGATAAATGCTGAATCCTTTGCTTTCGCGTGTACGTTATGTGTGTGTGTGTGTCCGGCAAACTGAGTTCAATTCCTGACCATGCACATATCAGTGTCAAGCGAAGCCGTCTTGGGCAACCTTTAGGTGAGTCCAGCCTTAAATGAGTACGTAACACGTTAAGCGAACATCAGCACCGGGGAGATAAATGCGGCCGGGCGTGGTGATAGCCACACCACCGCGACGTGTGAAATGTCTGTTATAATAGGAGCTCGCTAACAGCAATGCCTCCTATCGTCTGCAAGGTTAAGCGAATGTTAGTGCACGACGATTCGTGTAAGAATGCGTGCAGCTGCGAGCACATTTGCATTCAACTACAAATCTCAGAAAACTGCGTTCGACCCCCTGACAGTGACGTGCATTGCATGGTACACCATCAAGATCACCAGTGGGCCAATCCGAATTGAAAGTCCCCGGGCTCAATGTAGGCTGAATATCGAGTAGGTGACGTGGTGTGCATTTCAACAACACTACCGGGGAGACAAAGGCGTTTGGGTGTGCTAGTTTGTAATTATTTTCCTTCCCCCGCCCCTCCGATAAGCGCGCTTGAAAACCCACGGTGAGAAAGAAGTTCAACATACATAGACCAATCCACTGCTGGACGAGGACGTTCGCACGTGGGTGTTATGTAACCATACTTCACCACGCTCGTGCAGTGGCTAGCCTGGACCAGTGTTTCACATGTGGCCCAGAATCTAACTCGGGCTAACCACTGCCCCAGCAGCTCCACCCCAATAAATACGCACACACACACACATATAAATCTAGCGACCTAAATTAATGGGTGCTCGCTAACTACCCCCTCCACGACTGTCTGTTGGGTTAATTGAGGGACATTTGTGCACGTGTCATCCTGTCTTCATGAGAGCTTCGCTCGCTAGCAGCACTCTACCCCAACGGTCTTTAAGCTCCACTTGTGATCTGTGTGTGTGTGTGTTCCTTGTCGCCGCGTTCCATTCCCGGCGATGCATAACGTCAATGGAGGCCTCCACTAGGTTCGCTCAGACTGAAAATGAGTATCTGCTGCGTTGTGTTAAACCATCAGCTCTGGCGAGACAAATAACAGTGGGAGTGTTACCGGCGCGCCGTGCCGATCCTCAGAAGTGCTCGCTCCCAGCACTTGCCCCAACAATCTGTAAGGCTATATGGGGCTCTTTGCCCTTTTTGTGCGTGCGCGCGCGCGCGTGTGTTGTTGATATAATACGTATCATGGATTTTATTTTAAAGCGTGTTAAAGTATGTTGTTGGTGTGAACGCAACGTGTATTACCTACAGGCATCGTCTGGACGCATTGTATATGGATCATTGACTCTGTGTGCCAGACGATTAAAATGATGAATTGATAATTACCCCCACCTTATATATCATTATACACCTCTGCGCGTAGCGTCTGCTGTTGTTATATGCGAACGTGTACACGTTGCTGGTTTGGTATGCATCGAAACCGACGGCTGTGTTAGGCACAGTTCGTGATAACGAGATGACGTGTGCGTGAGATATGGGACATTGCGTACGTATGAATATGCACACGTGTGCATGGGAATGACATAATCACGAGCCATTGTCAATCCACTGCTGGTTTAGGGCCTCCTCGTGCCGTCGCCATCTCTCACGGGTCCTGCGATACCAGCACCTGCATAATTCATCGCTCCATCTCCCGCCTTGATGTCCCCTCTCGGGCGCGTTCCGTTCCTTGGCTTGCTCCCCCTGTGATTGTTGGTGGCCGTTGGCAATCATACCTTCAATCGATACTTACGGCACATACACACGGATGTATACTTGATTAACGGCCAATGCGTCACAGCTGCGCGCAGCATATGCACTTCGTGAATATGTACACGTACGATGCGAATAGCATGCCACAGCAGCTCATTGCCTGAGATCGCATCTCATGTCAAATATTCAAAGAGCACCCCCATGGTCAGGACGCCCGTGCAGTAGCACGAAGTGACTCAGCACCGGTCTCCAGGTGGGCAGCAAATCTTCCAGTAGGGGCGATGATATACTCAATGCCAATTGAGTATATCACACATTCATATATACCTTATGTATACAGATAAAATGTGTAATATTATACATATATGCATATTCAGTCCATGCACAAACATTTACGTGTACAATACCATGCCACAGGAGCATTAATTATGCAATTGAGTTTAACAGTTTTTACGTTGTTTTGATATATTTCAATTATACACGAATTAACCTATATGCTTATGTACGTGAAAGTGCTTGTTTTAGTGCACTCCACGTGGCCTTAACGTGCACATAGCCTGGCACAAGCGCCGTGGTGACGTCACCGCCACTTAGTGGCGAATGGCGGGGTTGTTATTAGTGGCGAATGCACACTCGCGTACAAAGCACTGATAAATGAATACTTGTACCCATGTACAGTTACGAATGAATAATATACCCAAAATCTTTGCAAAAATGATGTTGCCAATGTAGGACCCTCCTGAAACGTTAGTCCTGGGACTCAATATTTACATTACGTGTACATTACGTGTATAAAAAATATATATACACATCAACAAAGCAATGCCCCAGGCTTGAGTATGTTATTCCATAGCATCTATCTACTCCACGGGTATAAGTGTGCAACGCTATTCTAAGCGTTATGCAATGTATGAACAGCAAGACGTATGCCTTG